TCATTTGAGCTTCCCAACAACCATGTAAAGGAGGAGCTATTTATTAACCCCATTTTACAGCTGAGGAAACTGAGGCAGACAAAGTTTAAGTGATTTGCCCAATAGCTAGTCTGATACTGGATTTGAATTCAGGTCTTCCTGACTCCAGGACCAGGGCCCTATCCATGGCACTACCCAGCTGCCTAAGATTTGTATAAACTGATATAGAATAAACAAGCAGAATCAGAAAACCAATATCCACAAGTGACGGCTCTAGAAAACAAAGAATGGAACATACTGTACCCTCCCTCACAGAAGAGGTGGGGAGCTACTGGGCTAAAATGTGGCATACATCATCCTACGGGATCACTCTGTGAGATGTTTTTGCTTCACTGGTTTTCTTTCTTACAAGGGAGGATTCAATCTATTGGGGAAAGGTGTTCCCCCTCCCCCTAGAAACGAGTGTGACAAGAAGAATAAAGTCATTAAGATTCAATGTAATTCAATTCTCTTTTAGACCAAGTATGTTCATTGAGAAGCATGATGTTAAGTAGGAGTCAGTGTCTGAGACTGCGCACGCACCAGGGTCAAAAGTGCATGGAAGCCCAAAGCACCGACCCTTCTTCCTTAGCTCGGTAAGCACCCTCCCTTAACCCTGCTGCACCCTGAACTCAACCACCCAGGCACGGAAAACAATGTGCAACTATGCAAGAAAAGGTCTCCGTTCACGCCCTTTGATTTGGAGATCCGAATATCCGAAATTAATCAACATTTTTAAAGTGCTGACTATGTGCCGAGAGAGGTCTCGAAAACTCAGAGAATGCCAAGAACACCCCTGTGTGTACAGCAATATCCATTTACTTGTGATAAGTAACACACATATACAACTGGGGAAGGTCTGAACAAACTGCATGACATTCATGTAATGGAATACTAGGAGCCTACAAGGAAAAAGGAGTAGCACGATTTCAGACAAGATGCAAAAATTCAGTGAAGAAAGCAGAGCCAAAAGAATTCACTGAATGACTCAATGAGGGGGCCCCAGTAATCCAGATCAAGCCTCCAGCTATCAAGGAGGAAGCCCCCTAGGGAAAGGGACACCCTAGCAGCTCTAACAGGTCCTCACTTTGCATCAAAATAAAATGTCCCAATAAAAAAACGGATCTGAAAAAGCACCTTATGCTGCGGGGTGAGCAGAGGGCCCAGGGCATCCCCCAGGCCTTCCCATCATTTCCTTTTATTCCTCTGGGGCGTCATGGGGTGACGCCGCAGACACATCGCAGACACAACGGATAGAATGAGCACACACAGAATTTACTCTGCCTTGGATCATTCCTCATCCACCGCCTTCATCCTTCGTGGCTTCAATATTTACCCACAGGTGCCTCTGCACACCCAGTTTCCCAATTCATCAACCTCTTTGGCTATCTCACATCTACTTAAACTGCCACAAGAGCTGCCACGACTTAAACTTGGCCATCCCCAAATGGTTCCCTCTCTAGGATCCTGACCACTAAATTTCTCCTCTGTGACAGGTTCCGAGGCATATGCCTTCCACCAGCACGATTTAAATTCCAAGAGCTGCTGGTGTTAGAACAAGTCCCTCCCCATCCCAAGAGCCAGCAGCCCTGCGGTGAGGACCCTCTCTGCACCTACTAAGCTGGCCCGTGCACAACATCAAGTGGATCAAGCAGGCAGCCTTCTGCTCAGGCCCTGAGCAGGCAGTCCACCAGACAACCCGGAGAGCTCAGGGCCAATCACCCCCACAGCCCAAGGTACACAGGAATCCCTGTTCTCTGGGTTCGCATCTGAGTTCTGAACTTGTGAGTAACCTGGTGCAACCTAGTCACAGCCTTGGCCTCAGTTTCATTCTCTGTAAAATCTAGAATATCTGCACCTGTTCTAATGGAGGAAATGCTTTTTCTCTGGTCAAAGGTCAAGGTCACAAAGCTGGGGTTGGAACACATCCTCATTGGCTGTTGTTAATATTACTCGACTGACTGGTCGTCCATGCTCATCGTGTGTAACTCTGGCCTCCCTGGTGGCTGGGGGGGGGTCCAGCGCTCACCCCAAGGCCACAGGCTGGGGCGGGACAGTCTTCTGTGGGCTTGGCACAGACAGGGCCTTACTGCATTGCTAATACATAGCAAGATACCGAGGAAAAGATTTCCATACTTAGACAAGAGATTTAGATTAAAAGCACTGGAAAGGAAATTGAGATTAAGCATTATTTTAAATAAGCAAAGGCTGTCTTCCTAAGGCCTGGAAAGGCATTTTCTCTGAGCCATCACAGTGTTCTAAACTATAAGACTCCATTTTGTCCTGGAGAAATAAACCGCCCAAACAGATGGTGACCTGTAAACAAAAGGAATCCTCTCTACGGAGGAGTGACCACCCAAGGGGAATGCAGACACTACTTCAGAGGTGCAGCCTCCACGTTTTACTTTTACTGTTAGACTTTCTATGTTTTGCTCAGTGAGCCTTTAGGATTCATACCACATACACAAACACACTCTCTCTCTCCTCTCTCTCTTTCTCTCTCACACAAACACACATACACTCATTAGCCCATTTCCAATGACCTCACAGTTGAGTCACAAGCACTAAATGATGAAGGGGAATTACAACAGATAACACACAAAAACCTAAACCAAACTGTTGGGAGCATCTCCTCCCAGCACATGAAGGAGTCTGCAATTTCACTGAGAAGACTGAGATCATACAAAATGGGTTCCTTTCTCTGCATCACTGGCCTCCCCAGTCTCCTTTCTCCCCCCCTCTCTTCTCCTGGTTTATTCCCCCCTAAGGCCAAGGTCAAGCCTTCTCCCTGCTGTGTCAGGCCAGGCCCACAGCACCGCCTCGTCTCAGGGCTCTCTCTCAACACCCCAGAGCCGGCATATCTCCTTTTCCACCCATCTGCAGTACTGCCTCACCCCGGCCCCTCTGGATCTGCCCCGGCTCCAGGCAACCTGACAAAAGCTTCCCAGAACCCCTCTAGCACCATCAAGTTGGGGCTGTCTCTTATCTGTTCCCAACCTAAACCTCTTTAACGGTTTGGTTTCTTTTTTTAGCAATCACATGACCAGCAAGATGGAAGAACAGACCTGTGCAAAGCTCTCCAACCTAAACCTTAATGCAAAAGAATTAAATGCCATACTGAGTCATTACAGAAGGGTCAACCAAACAGGAACCCATACTGTTGATCACCCTCCCTCCCTCTCAAGGGTTTCAGGACACACCAACCCCTCCCCTGGCTTTCCTCCTCCTTCTCTGATGGCTCCTTTTCTGGATCCTCCTTCAGCTAAGACCCCCTAACTCCAGGTGTCCCTGGTGATCTCACCAGCTTCTGTGGGTTTAATTTCCATCTGATGATTCTCCTATCTACCTATCCTGCTCCAATCTCTCTGACTTTCAATCTCCCATCTCCTACTACTTTTCAGACATCGTGAACTGGATTGTCCAGTGGACATCTTAGACTCAATATATTCTAAACAAAACTCATCTTTCTTTTTCTTTTTTTAATTTTTTTTTGGGGAGGAGGCAATTGGGGTTAAGTGATTCACCTGGGGTCACCCAGCAAGTGTCTGAGATCAGATTTGAACTCAGATCCCCCTGACTCCAGGGCCGATGCTCTATCCACTGCTCCCCTCAGCTGCGCCATTCTCTCTCCCCCCAAACCCTACCTTCCCTAGTACTGTCCTCCCAGGCCCTCAGGTTCACAACCTAGGAGTCACCCTGGATTTGGCACTATCTCTCATCCCCCACATCCAAGCTGGTGCAAGGCCAGTCATTTGTATCTCTGACATCTCTTGAATAGTAAGTCCCCTTCTTTCCTCTGCCGCTGCCCCAACTCTGGGGCAGGCCCTTATCCCCTTCCACCTGGCCTGTCACAATGGCTGCCAGTCAACAGTCTGCCTCATCTCTCCACCTCCAGCACATCTTCTACTCGGCTGTCAAACTGCTTAAACAAAGCACATGTCTGACATGTCACTCCCCTCAAGAAACTCCAGTGGTCCTCTACCACCTTCAGGATCACATATGGAACGCTGTTTGGCATTCGAAGCCCTTCCTAACCAGCCCCCTCCCACCTCTCCAGTCTTCTTACACCTGACCTTTTCCCCAAGATCACAGGACTAAATGACCCTGGCTTCCCTGCCGGCCTTCCAACTCAATGCTCCATCCCCAGACCCCCAGTGTTTCCTCGGCTCATCCCCATGCCTGGAATGTTCTTCTCCCCCAGCCTCCGGCCTTCCTCCAGGAAGCCTTCCTGGCCCCCGTCGTTCTAGTGCCCTCTACGGACTACCTGCCACGGTGATCTATGGGTCTGTCTCTACAGGCTGTTTTCCTTATTCCTCTCTGAGCCCCTGGAGAGCATGGGCCCTGTTTCTGCCTTTCTCTGCATCCCCCGCAGAGTGCCAGGCGCACAGTAGGTGCTTAATAAATGCTTGCTGAATGGCTGCATGATATTCTGCATCTTTGCTATTGAGGGATTTCACGGGAAGGATGGTAAAGTCCCCAAGAACTTCAGACTCATTTTAGGAGCAACCACGGACCTGAGCAAGCTGGACAGGCTCCCAGGACACTTGAGCGGCGGCCCTGGGGGGCCAGGGAGGGCCGGGCGGGGGGCGGCAGGGGGGGATCGCGGACCCCTTGGAATGCCACAGGCCGCCCCCGCGGCCTCCGACGCCCCGCCCCAGGGACCCCCCCCCCCGCGAGGGCAGGGCAGCGCAGCAGGCGCTCAGTAAGCTCTCCTGGGCCAGATGACCCCGCGACCCCGGGCAGATCCCAGCCCGGGGCGGGGGGGCGGGGCTGGCGGAAAGGTGTGCGGGTGCGCGCGAGGGTGTCCGCGGCCGTTGTCATGGAAACACGAGGCCGAGGCCAAAGCGCAGACACGGAGGGCCCCAGCGCACCCCGCAGCCCACCCCCACCGCGCCTGCACCTGCTGCTCCCCCGCGCCCTCTCTGCGCACGCGCACCCAGCGCCCCTCCGCCCGGCCGCGCCCCCCGCGCGCGCTCCCGTACCTCCTTTTTCTTCTGGGCCACGCTCGGGGGCGCGCACAGCAGCAGCAGCAACGGCGGCAGCAGGAGCGCGCAGCTCGCGCCCGCCAGGCCCCACCGCCACCGGCCCCGGCGAGGCCTGCTCGCGCTGCCGCCCCGCGGGGACGGTCCTGCCGCCGCCGCCTCTGACCTGGGCGCCGCCATCGCCCGGGCTCCGGTGCCCCCGCTGCCGCCGCCGCTGCCCCCCCAGCCGCCCGGACAGACCCTCTGACCAAGAGCCGGCACTGAAGACCGCCGCCCCGCCCCACCCCGCGCGCTGGGGGGGCGGGGCACGGCGCCTGCGCAGCCCAACCCCGGGCCCCCCCCCCCCCGCCCTGGCTCCTCTCCCGCCCCACCCCCTGACGGTGAGGCCCTTTGCTGACCCCGCCCCCTAGCCCTCATCTCTGGCCCCGCCCCGTCTTGGCGGCTCCTCTCCAGCCCCCTTCAGTCCTTCCGGTTCTGACTCCACCCCTCTTAGGGTGACACCCCTCCCCCACCAGCCTAGGTGTGACTCCTTAGATGATTCCTCCCCCCATCTTTGGAGGTGGCTTTTTGTAGAGAAGGTCCACTAGGCCTGGGTGTGTCTGTGTGTGGCTCCTCCCCCTCTCCCCTGGGTGTGTCTGTGTGTGACTCCTCCCCCTCTCCCCTGGGTGTGTCTGT